TCGGCAAGCGGGGACGCCGATGGCAGCTCGAAGGAGGTCGCGCCCTGGTCGCCATCCTTCGTCTCAGTGTCAACATCCGTCGCGCCATCCCCCTTCAGATCCCCCTCGAGCACGTCGGACGGCGCGACCTCCACTAGCTTCTCGGGCTTCGGCGTGCCGACGTCCTGAGGCAAGTCGGTGGTCTCGAGCTTGGACGTCGCCTTGCGGTCGTCCGATGGCAGGCCGGCTGCCTTGCTGACGACCGAGGGGTCCTCCAGGAGCGCGACCAAGTCTGGGTCGTGGCTCGAGAGAAGCTCCTCGCGGTTCCACTCGACATCGCCCCCCTCGCTGCTGATCGACATCGTGTCGTCGATCTCCACAGCGGACCCAATGGCCATCGACGTCCTCGGAGTCGTCGCGGGCGTGACGGTGATGAGGTCCATGACGGCGCCGAAGCTCTCCACGAACGCAGACGGTATCCCCCGACCCTTGGCCTTCTGCGAGGCCAGCTGGGACAACAGCGCCCGCAGCCTGAATGCGCACGCCTCTGCCTCGTTGCCATTCACCACGAGGTTGTTCTTCTTGATGTAGGCGGCCGCGCCTTGAGTGAAAGGAGTTTGCGTAGCCTGCACGCCGCCCGTGTGCTTCAGCAAGCACGCGATCGACTTGGCCAAGGGCTTGGCAGCGCTCCAGTCTGGGCTGCGGCCGAAAGTCACTTTGTCGTACAGCACGAACTTACCGTTCTTCAGCTGAGAGGCGGGCACATGGGACAGCACATCCGCAACGGCCTCTTCCGACAGAATCGCCCCCTTGACAGCTGGCATGCCGTCGGCTTCCTGAAAAAAAAACACTTCGAGCCCCGATCGAAGTGGCTGCGAAGCCGCGTGGGGGGGGGGGCTATCGGAGACGCTCCAAGACAATTCCAATACGCTCCCAAGACAATTCCAAGACAATTCCAAGACGCTCCCCCTCCGACTGCCCAAGATGACAGGATGGCCCAAGACGGCTTCCCCCACGGGCCCAAGACGGCCCTCGACGGCCCAAGGTGGCCCAAGATGGCTCAATCCGATCTGCTCAGCAGCAGCGCAGTACCCGATGTACGCTTGTAGAACCTCCTCCTCCTCCTCCTCCTCCTCCTCCTCCACCTCCTTCTCATCATCCTCCTCCTCCCCATCCTCATCCTCCTCCTTCCCCTCCTCTTCCTCATCCTCATCCTCCCCCCCTCCCCCTCCCCCTCCTGAGCATCCTCCTCCTCCAAGAGTTAGTTTTTTACGCTCTTCGTCTCATCCACCTCCTCCTCCGCCTCCTCCTCCTCCTCCTCCTCCTCCTCCTCCTCCTCCTCCTCCTCCTCCCCCTGTCAAACAATGCTTGCACGTATGACAGCTACCTTCCCACAACAGTGCCTGCATGCATGACAGTGGCTGCCCCAAGCAGTGCTTGCGCGCATGACGGCGCTTCCTCAAACAGTACTTGCGCGCATTTCAGTGCTTGCACGTGTGGCAGCATTACAGCGTTTGTATCAACCCGTGCTTGCACGCATGCCAGGTCCTAAACCATACGGGCCCACTACATCTCATCTCGCAAGAATCCTTGAGCGCTAAGCCGAGTTGCCCCAAGCAGTGCTTGCACGTATGACAGTGCTTGCATGGCCCACAGCAGTGCTTGCACGAATGACGTGACATCCACTTATGACAGTGCTTGCACGCATAACAGTGTTTACCCTCAACGGTGCTTACCATACGCTAGTGCTCCCGTGAACAGCGCTTGCCTCAAATTGTGATTGTTCGGATGACAGGGGCTCAACCATGAACGCATCAACCCCTCTCTTCCCACAACAGCGCTTGCATGCCAGACGTGAGCAGAGATCCGATCGACCCCAAACGGTACTTGCACATACTAGCTTGCTCTTCCCGCAACAGTGCTTGCACGCGTGACCGTATTTGCCTCAGGAAGTGTGCACGTGCCACTGCACCTAACCAATCAGCCGATGAAGAGCAACATGAGGACGAGAAGGAGGAGGAGGATGAGAAGGTGGAGGGGGAGGCGGAGGAGGAGGTGGAGGAGAATGCGGGAGTAAACGGTTGACCCTTGGATGAGGAGGAGGAGGAGGAGGAGGAGTAGGAGGAGGAGGGAGGGGAGGAGGAGGAGGAGGAGGAAGGGGATGGAGGAGGATGGGGAGGGATGGAAATGGGGAGGAGGGGTGGGGGGAAGGATGGAAGGCGTCCAATCGCCGATGCATCGCCGATTCCAGGTTGACGTTCAAGGTATCATTATTGGTCTCCTCCTCCTCCTCCTCCTCTGCGGTCCTCCTCATCCTCCTCCCCCTCCTCATCCTCCCCCTCCTCATCCAAGAGTGTTGGTCACTCCCTCCTTCTCCTCCACCTCCTCCTCCTCCTCCTCCTCCTCCTCCCCTCCTCCCCACCTCCGCACCCCCTCCTTCTCGTCCTCATATTGCTCTTCATCGGCTGATGGCGTTGACGATGACAACTCAGATGGTTTCGCCATCCGCCGATGCGAGCGAAAACCGCTCGCGTGAGGGGATCACAGGGCGGCGCGCCAGCGCCACTGAAACTAACACCGCCTAGAGCTCAATCATTCGGCGCAGCAGCGGCTGGGGCCGCCTCTGGTGACGGCGGGGAGCCAGGCACTGGGAGGTTGGCAAGCTGGTTCCATGAGTTAGCATCAACGATCTGCTCGTACTTCCTGCGAACCGACGCCTTGACCGCCACCTTGAGGTAGCTCTTCTTGAACCTGTGGTGCGGAGGGCCGCCGACAGTCGACATCCTGCGTGCCTCGGCCTTGTCGCTGGCCGACCTCGGATTGCGCAAGCCCTTCACAATCGTACAGATGTTCGGGATCAACGCCGCACTGTTCTCCTTGATATCTTGAAACACAACATCCGAGAACGCGTTCACGATCTCTAGAGCCTGCCTGTGTTTGATCTGCAATCTCTTGGCAAGCTTCTGGACAAACTGGCGCTTGTTGAGCCGCACCATCCGCTATTTCTGTGATCAGGTTCGGTTGGCGTGCTTGGGCGCTGGACCTTGGGGCCAATATGTCGAACATGCGACGCATTTAGCAGCGTTGGGGACCCATGGTTCTCTCGTTGCGTCGGCCAGTATACTTCCTCCTCCTCCTCCTCCTCCTCCTCCTCCTCCGCGTGCTCCTACTCCGTGTGTTCCTCCTCCTTCTGCACCGTCTCCTCCTCCTCCTCATCCTCCTCCTTCTCCTCGTCCCCCTCCCCCTCCTCCTCCTCCTCATCCTCCTCCTCCTCCTCCTCCTCCTCCTCCTCCTCCTCCCCCTCCTCCGCCTCCTTCTCCTCCTCCCCTCCCTTCCTCCTCCCCCCTCTCATCGCCCCCCTCCTCCCCAGGCTGGCCCTGGCGCAACTGGAATTTCGGGGTGGTGTGTGTTGTTGTTGTTGTTGTTGTTGTTGTTGTTGTTGTTGTTGGTGGTGTTGTTGTTGGTGTTGGTGTTGGTGTTGTTGTTGTTGTTGTTGTTGTTGTTGTTGTTGTTGTTGTGGTTGTTGTTGTTGTTGTTGTTGTTGTTGTTGTTGTCGTTGTTGTCGTTGTTGTTGTTGTTGCTGCTGCTGCAGCTGCCTTTGCCCCCCACATCGAAGGTGGGGTTCTTGCTTTCTCTACGCACCCCGCGCAGGAGAGGACGCACCCACCCACGCCCGCGCGCTCACTCACACATTCACGCACCCATTCACTCACTCATCCACTCAGACACTCACACACCATGATCGTGAAATCATAAGGATCACCATCATCATCACGCACTCACTCACTCACTCGCTCACTCACTCACTCACTCACTCACTCATCATCAGCATCATCAGCATCATCATCATCAGCATCATCATCATCACCATCATCACTCACTCACTCACTCACTCACTCACTCACTCACTCACTCACTCACTCACTCACCCGCTCACTCATTCACCCACTCACTCACACGCTCTCACTGACTCGCTCACACACTCACTCACTCACTCACCCATTGTGAGGACGTCTCGGGCGGGGCCCCCCTCCCTATGGGGCCTGCGGCTAACATGAATACTCCGAGCGTGGCATCGGTAACCTGTAATTGTCATCACGTGTGGGTTCCACAGGGGTGAATGCAGAGGACGTGTCGGGCGGGAGCCTCGTCTGTGAGTGGCTTGTAAGGACGTTTCGGGCGGGAGCCCCCTCCCTATGAGGCCCGCACTTCATGTTGGTAATCCGAGCGGGTCATCGGGAAACCTGTAACAACACAGGTGTTGGTGACACTTGGGAGCTCGAATCTCGAGGGAGTCTCGAGCGGGAGCCTCGTCTGAACTTGAATTGCGAGGAAAGGAAGTCGCAGGCGGGATCCCCCTCCCTACGGGGCCCGCACTTCATGTGGGCAATCCGAGCGGTTTATCGGAACACTCGTAACAACACACAGGGTTTGGTGCCACATGGGAGCTCGAATCTCGAGGACGTCTCGAGCGGCAGCTTCGTCTGTGAGTGAATTGCGATGGACGTTCAGGCGGGAGCCCCCTCCCTATGGGGCCCGCGATGAGAAGGTGGAGACGGCGAGGAGGAGGGGCAGGGAGACGGCGAGGCGGAGAGGGAGAGGACGGTTGAGGAGGAATAACAGGAGGAGGACAAGTATATTGATGATGAGGAGGAGGCTAAGACCGTACGACTCTAAGACCTTAAGACCCTTAAGACCCCAAGACCCCAAGACCCTACGACCCTAAGACCTTAAGACCCTGGATCAAACATACCCTACGACCCTAAAACCCTAAGCTCCCAAGACCCTGAGACCCTAAGACCCTACGACACTAGACCCAAAAGACCCTAAGACCCTTAGACCCTCAGGCCCAACGACCCTGGATCCAAAGACCCTCAGGCCCTAAGACCCCAAGACCCTAAGACCCCACGACCCCAAGACCCTAAGACCCTAAGACCCCAAACAGAGCTTGCACTCACAGAAACAACGCCTGCACTCCCCAAACAGCGCTTGCAATCTCCAAACGGTGCTTGCATATGTTTTCCCAGATGCGCGAACAGCTCGCCGCGAGCGTGGCCGAGCGAAGTTCCCTGTGGCAACAGGAAGAAGGGCGCATTCGCGCCCTGTGACCGCGGCGTGCCTAGAGCCTCTGGGTGTCCTCCTCGGCCAGCCCCTGGGAGTCGTTGACCTCGTAGGCCTTCTCCTGGGTGTCGTTGACCTCGGCCAGCCCCTGGGAGTCGTTGACCTCGTAGGCCTCCTGGGTGTCGTTGACCTCGGCCTGCCCCTGGGTGTCGTTGACCTCCTCGGCCTGCCCCTGGGTGTCGGTGACCTCCTCGGCCTGCCCCAGGGTGTCCTTGACCTCACCTGCATGCTTCGTCTCGATGGGATCCGACGCCGAGCGGCGCAACTTCTTCTGGCCAGGAGGCATCATCAAGTTGTCGACGACCTGCTTCACCTCGTGGAAGCGAGCGCACAGCGGGTTGAGCGTGTTCTCGATGAACGAGTCGAGGTCGAACGAGCTCTCAGGAGGCGGGCCGCCAGGCACGAAGTTCTCGAAGGCGCTGAAGGCGACTGTCAACTCCGCCGAGAGGGAATCGACCTCGTTCGCCGCAGACCGCGTGAACTTCGAGTCAAGCACCCTGGTGCTAGTCCAAGCTCCGAGCAAGTACATCATGTTCTTGCAGTCGTTGAGCGCGGAGTCGGCTCGCTCGGCGTCCCAGCGGCTCACCGCCGCGTCGACGTCCACGACGTCGTCGAGGCCGACCACCTGCGAATCGTGAAGCTGCTCCATTTGCAGCGCGCGATCGATCTGGGACGAACGGCTGAGCAGAAAAGCTCGAGCCAAAACAGGCTACGGAACATGAGTGGCAACATTTGCGTGCCTTCTCCGCTCATGGCGGCCGTCCTCGCCTCGGGGGCCCACAGGTGGGATGTACGCAACCAGCGTGTAAATAGTATGATGTTGGGGCGTTATGGGGAGCCTCTTGAGGGCCTCTTGGGCGCCGCGGGGAGGCGTTTGGAACCCTGCGACGTCAACCAGCAGACGCGGACCCTCCCTTAAACAGTTGCGATGGCCGATCGTCGGTGGAACCCCCTCTGGAGCCACGAATTGCCAGGGGAGGGCTGCGAGTAGGTTCACAAGAGGCACCATTGGGGGGCCCCTGCAAGACACCTAAGGCCCCCAAGGGGCAACCAAGAGCGGCCCACGATGCATCCCAAGATGCACCCAAGAGTGCCCAAGAGGCCTCCAATACAGAGGAAACAATGGAAACGATCATGGTTCAAGGGTTTCGGTGGTGCCGAGGATTTCCCGAAAGCGCCGCCGCGGCTAGTTTTTTAATGGCTTTCGCATGAAAAAAAAAACAACTCCCCCAGCCAGCCTGCGTGGACTTCAAGAACATCACGTGTGATGAGTTCCTTCATGGAGGGGGCACCTCGACAACACATTTTCGACAAGCACCATGGATAGTGTAAGCATAGGCAGAAGGGGGGGGGCAAGACGGCCACACGCGACAGACACCAAAACATCGCCAACGGGCGGCATTGGGCCACCCCATGACGATGATGGCCCCAGGTGGTCGCGATATTTGTCCAGAAGGCCCCATGTTGCTCCCAAGGTTTCCAAGACGTTCTTGCGAGTTTGGGGGGCCTTGCAGGGGCCCTCTTGGAATCTTCAGGGGGCCTTGAAGGCCCTTTGGGGGGCTTATGGGGCGTATCTTGGGGGCTTTCCCCTCCTCTTCCTCCTCTTCCTCCTCCTCTGTCTCCTCTTCCTCTCGTCGTCCTCCCTTTACTCCGTCATTCCTCATTCCTCCCCCTCCTCTTCCTCCTCCTGCCAGCTGCGACCTCGAGGAGGAATTACTCTCGGTGCCTTTTGATAGGGGGCGCTGCTAATTACCAGTGCCCCCAACGTGGCACGCGGATGAGGAAGAGACTACCAAAAGGGGGCATGGGCTGAGCTGGCGCGCCATACCTCCGCGCTAAGCTGGTGCGTAAAAAAAGAAGAGGAGGTGGAGGACGTGGTGGAGGAGGAGGAGGAGGGGGAGAAGGAGGAGGAGGAGGAGGAGGAGGAGGCAGTGGGAAGGGGCAGCGGGCGCAATAGTGGGAAGGGGCCCGCTGGGGTTGCGTTTTCCATTGCGCCGTTTTCGGCCGAAAGTTATAGCTCTCAGCATCGAGTGCAAGTGGCGATTTCGAGTGCTTTTATCATGCTGGTGCTTTTTGGGAGGGAGCAAAACAGCCTCAAGAGACCTTTGCAAAGAGACCCTCTCCCAACCCCAACGTCATTGATATCCCAAATCGACCATCACCAAACATTCCGAAAAATCACATCGCGCCGCTGCTAGAGTTTTTGATAAAGTTTCTGAACATTCGGCCGCCCCAGGAACTAAGTTTTAAAAGGTTTCGAAGCATCGAACTTCCCAGGATATCCGACAATTCAAAAACAAGGGTGATTCACATGGGGACCACGCGGCGCCGTTTTTTTGAAAATGACGCCTTGGGGCGTGGTTTTTGATACGCAATCTCCGAAGCAACTTCGGAAATGACGCTTATGCGGGTCAGGGTAGCTTTCCTGCATGTCTGCAACGTCCAACCCAGAGCTGCCGGCGGCAAAGATGATGGATTGGGATGATCCCCAACCGGAACCGGAACCGGAACCGGAACCGGAACCGGAACCGGAACCAGCACTTTCCTGCATGTCCCGAGCTGCCGGCGGCAAAGATCATGGATTGGGATGATCCCCAACCGGAACCGGAACCGGAACCGGAACCGGAACCGGAACCAGCACTTTCCTGCATGTCTGCAACGTCCAACCCAGAGCTGCCGGCGGCAAAGATGATGGATTGGGATGATCCCCAACCGGAACCGGAACCGGAACCGGAACCGGAACCGGCACTTTCCTGCATGTCTGCAACGTCCAACCCAGAGCTGCCGGCGGCAAAGATGATGGATTGGGATGATCCCCAACCGGAACCGGAACCGGAACCGGAACCGGAACCGGAACCGGAACCAGCACTTTCCTGCATGTCTGCAACGTCCAACCCAGAGCTGCCGGCGGCAAAGATCATGGATTGGGATGATCCCCAACCGGAACCGGAACCGGAACCGGAACCGGAACACTTTCCTGCATGTCTGCAACGTCCAACCCAGAGCTGCCGGCGGCAAAGATGATGGATTGGGATGATCCCCAACCGGAACCGGAACCGGAACCGGAACCGGAACCGGCACTTTCCTGCATGTCTGCAACGTCCAACGTGCCGGCGGCAAAGACATGGATTGGGATGATCCCCAACCGGAACCGGAACCGGAACCGGAGCCGGCGGCAAAGATGATGGATTGGGATTGATCCCCAACCGGAACCGGAACCCGGAACCGGCACTTTCCTGCATGTCTGCAACGTCCAACCCAGAGCTGCTGGCGGCAAAGATCATGGATTGGGATGATCCCCAACCGGAACCGGAACCGGAACCGGAACCGGAACCAGCACTTTCCTGCATGTCTGCAACGTCCAACCCAGAGCTGCCGGCGGCAAAAATGATGGATTGGGATGATCCCCAACCGGAACCGGAACCGGAACCGGAACCGGAACCGGAACCGGAACCGGAACCAGCACTTTCATGCATGTCTGCAACGTCCAACCCAGAGCTGCCGGCGGCAAAGATCATGGATTGGGATGATCCCCGACCGGAACCGGAACCGGAACCGGAACCGGAACCGGAACCGGAACCAGCACTTTCCTGCATGTCTGCAGCAACGTCCAACCCAGACCTGCCGGCGGCAAAGATGATGGATTGGGATGATCCCCAACCGGAACCGGAACCGGAACCGGAACCGGAACGTGTGGGGGTCATAATGACCGCCGACGCAACTCCCCGAGCAGCACTTGTCGTCCGACATGCACATGTCGTCGTTGGACTTGCAGCCGCCTTCCTCCTGGTCAGTGTCGCCGCCCTTCGTCGCGACACCCTGCGACTGATCCGTCTGCGCGAGACTGACCCCGTCGGCGCAGCGCCCCAGAACCTGCCCAGGGATTAAAGAACCGCCGCCAACACAACTCCCCGAGCAGCACTTGTCGTCCGACATGAACATGTCGCCGTTGGACTTGCAGCCGCCTTCCTCGCGGTCAGAGTCGCCGCCCTTCGTCGCGACGCCCTGCGACTGATCCGTCTGCGCGAGGCTGGCCCCGTCGGCGTAGCGCCCCAGAACCTGCCCAGGGATCAAAGAACCACCGCCGACGCAACTCCCCGAGCAGCACTTGTCGCCCGACATGCACATGTCGCCGTTGGACTTGCAGCCGCCCTGCTCCTGGTCAGTGTCGCCGCCCTTCGTCGCGACACCCTGCGACGGATCCGTCTGCGCGAGACCGGTCCCGTCGACGCAGCAGCGCCCCAGAACCTGCCCAGGGATCAAAGAACCGCCGCCGACGCAACTCCCCGAGCAGCACTTGTCGTCCGACATGCACATGTCGCCGTTGGACTTGCAGCCGCCTTCCTCCTGGTCAGAGTCGCCGCCCTTCGTCGCGACACCCTGCGACTGATCCGTCTGCGCGAGACTGGCCCGTCGGCGCAGCGCCCCAGAACCTGCCCAGGGATCAAAGAACCGCCGCCACGCAACTCCCCGAGCAGCACTTGTCGCCCGACATGCACATGTCGCCGTTGGACTTGCAGCCGCCCTCCTCCTGGTCAGAGTCGCCGCCCTTCGTCGCGACACCCTGCGACTGATCCGTCTGCGCGAGACTGGCCCGTCGGCGCAGCGCCCCAGAACCTGCCCAGGGATCAAAGAACCGCCGCCGACGCAACTCCCCGAGCAGCACTTGTCGTCCGACATGCACATGTCGCCGTTGGACTTGCAGCCGCCCTGCTCCTGGTCAGTGTCGCCGCCCTTCGTCGCGACACCCTGCGACTGATCCGTCTGCGCGAGACCAGCCACGTCGGCGCAGCGCCCCAGAACCTGCCCAGGGATCAGAGAACCACCGCCTACGCAACTCCACGAGCAGCACTTGTCGTCCGACATGCACATGTCGCCGTTGGACTTGCAGCCGCCCTGCTCCTGGTCAGAGTCGCCGCGCTTCGTCGCGACGCCCTGCGACTGATCCGTCTGCGCGAGACCGGTCCCGTCGACGCAGCGCCCCAGAACCCGCCCAGGGATCAAGGAACCGCCGCCAACGCAACTCCCCGAGCAGCACTTGTCGTCCGACATGCACATGTCGCCGTTGGACTTGCAGCCGCTCTGCTCCTGGTCAGAGTCGCCGCCCTTCGTCGCCAGGAAGGTCCTGAGCTGCGCGAACCCTGCTCTTCGCACCCGCCCGCGGCCTCGCAGGACTCGGCCTCGTGCGAAGCCGGCACGCCCCGCGCGAGCAGGGCCGGCCCGATCAGCCCAGCAAGCGCCATGGGCCCTGGAATCGCGAGGTGGGGCGTCGAAACTTGCGCTCTGGCCGAAACGGAACACTGGGTCCGAAATGGCTCGGGCCAGAACTGGGAACGGACCCCGCCTCTCCGCGGCACCTCCGCACGCGCGGACACTGGCGCACGAGCAGCACGGCGCGCCACGCGACGCGCCCGCGCGCCCTCGCGCCGCCGCGTGGAAGAGGCCAGCTCGGCGGCCCCGGCCGCGACGCGCGAACGGCGCCGCGGTGTTTTCAGGCGCCGCGGTGCACGCAGGCGCCGCGGTGATTCGCCGTAGGCGCCTTCGATAACGCCAACGTTCCAATTTGCGTTGATAATTCCTATCCGCCCCCCGCATGATGTTCCTAGATGCGCCGAGGCAGCGCCGAAACGCACCGAGGCGATTCTGATATGCCCAATTCTGATAGAGAGGGAGCGAAACCATTACAAATAAAGCAATTGCATTATATGGAATCCACAAGCGCTCCAATATGTCAGAAGGACTCCTTCTAAACTTCCATGTGCAACAACGGCGGTATGTTGCACGCGGTCGCTGCGGTGCACATAGGCGCCGCGGCGTTTTCAGGCGCTGTGGTGCATGCGGGAACTGTGCGGCGCAGTGGCGCTGTGTTGCGCGCGGCTGATGCGGCGCGCGCAGGCGCTGTGGCGTGCACAAGCGCCGTGGTGCGCGCAGGCACTGAGCGCACACTGGCGATGTGCTGCACGCGGCAACTGCGGTGTACATGGGCGGCGCGGTGTGCACAGGCGCTGTGGCACACGCAGGCACTGCAGTGAACTCAGGCACTGTGGTGCAGATCGCCATCCGCATGCTGCTGCTACCCGTCCTCGGTCATTCCTAAGCATTCCCAAACGCCGCCGGCGCGAAACGTGACGTCATCGGCCCCCTCCCCCCTCCACCCCGGATGACGGTCGTCATCGGCCGGGAATATAAGAAACAGACTCTCGCTGGCCTTCCTCGGATTGCGCGGCCTTCCTTAGGTTGCCCGAGTGGCCGGGCCCCGTTGCCCAGTTGCCAAGCAACGCAATTCAAAGCAAAGCAACGCAAAGCAACGCCAAGCAAACACAAAGCAACATAAAATACAAAACATGCCACAAAAGGCGCAATGCAATGCCATAAAACATGCCCAACAACGCAACGCCACCCAACCCGACGCAATGCAATGCCACGCAACGCCAAGCAACGCCACGAAATGCCAAGCAACGCACTGCCAAGAGATGCCAAGCAATACCCAACAATGCCAAGTTTTGCCACGCAGTGTCACGCAATGCCAGGCCCTGCCAAGCAACGCCAAGCAACGCCCAGCAATGTAAGGCCTTGCCCAAGCAGAGCAACGCAAAACAACGTCAAGCACTGCAAAACAACGCAAACCAACGCAAAGCAAAGCCATGCAAGGCAACGCCATGCATGTCCGTCCTTGGTGAGCTACTTACTCTGGAAGCTCTCAACCGCGCGGGGTCGCATCGTGCTCGGAAGCTTTCAACGGTTTGGCAAGTGGCGCCGTTAGGGCCGACCTGCCACTGCGAGCCCGAAGCAAAGTCGGCGACTCAGAGCCAACGGCACGGCAAGCGGCGCCGTCGGGGCCGACCTACCAGTGCGAGCCCGAAGCAAATTCGGCGCCTCAAACCCTGAAAATCGGTTCGCACGCACGGGCAAAGCGCGCAGCAATCCAAACCTCCGCGCTCCAGCGCGAACGTTCATCATGAATTTCAGCACCTGTCAGCTGTGGGTCAGCGGGCGCGCTGCGCGCTCACTCCGACGACAGGGGCTGGATCAGACCTCGGCACAAAGCGCGACGGTCTTCAGGAGCAGCGCTTCCGAATCATCCCCATGGGGGCAGGGGCGAAGAAGCAACTCCCCGAGCAGCACTGATCGCCCCCACTGCACATGGCGCCCTTGGACTTGCAGCCGTCCTCCTCCCGGTCAGAGTCGCCGCCCTTCGTCGCGTCACCCTGCGACTGATCCGTCTGTGCGAGTCTGGCCCCGTCGGCGCAGCGCCCCAGAACCTGCCCAGGGATCAAGGAACCGCCGCCAACGCAACTCCCCGAGCAGCACTTGTCATCCGACATGCACATGTCGCCGTTGGACTTGCAGCCGCCCTGCTCCTGGTCAGTGTTGCCGCCCTTCGTCGCCAGGAAGGTCCTGAGCTGCGCGAGCCCTGCCTCTTCGCACCCGCCCGCGGCCTCGCAGGACTCGGCCTCGTGCGAAGCCGGCACGCCCCGCGCGAGCAGGGCCAGCCCGATCAGCCCAGCAAGCGCCATGGGCCCTGGAATCGCGAGGTGGGGCGTCGAAACTTGCGCTCTGGCCGGAACTGAACTTTGGACGCCCGAAATGGGTACGGAAAAAAGGGGTACAATGCCCAACAGCAAATGTCGTCGCAAACCAGCAGCGGCCGCTGTTGGGCAGGCGGCATTCTGTCTCGAATGGACATAGGCCGCGGCGTCGTGGACAGCGAGTCCTGTTCAAAACGAACAGGAACTGCCGTGGGGCATCGTACCCATTCTGTCCGTGCCCATTTCGGGCGTCCAGATGAACACTGGATCCGAAATGGCTCGGGCCAAAACCGGGAACGGACCCCGCCCCTCCGCGGCACCTCCGCACGCGCGGACACTGGCGCACGAGCAGCACGGCGCGCCACGCGACGCGCCCGCTCGCGCCGCCGCGCGGAGGAGGTCAGCTCGGCGGCCCCGGCCGCGACGCGCGAACGGCGGAAAGCTTCGCGCCCCTGGGGGTGGCCTAGAAACATATACAGATGCTAGAACCACGCGCGCTTCGCGCGCGCTCAGGTTCTAGTCACGGCTGCGCCACGTTTTACTGCTCTCGTTTTCGCTCGTGCGACCATCGACAACGACGACGACGACGTCGACGACAACAGGGGCGGCGACGAGTGACGACGAAGACGACGATGACGACGACGATCACGACGACGACGACCGCCACCACCACGACGACGACGACGACGTCGACGACCCCTGGAATGGCCCCGAGGTCCGGACAATTTCCATTGGCCCAGAGTTTCGTCCTAAATGTTTGGCGGTCCCAGGGCCCGCTGGGGGCGTCAGGATGCCGAGGGCTGTCCGGGGAGAGGGATCTTGGGAGCCTCTTGGGGCCTCCTGGCGGCCCCGTGGGGCCTGCTTGGGTTCTTGTTTCGGGGGCTCTTGAAGGTTTCTTGGGGTCTCCGGGGTGCGTTTTGGGGAGGATGGCTCGAAATGTCGGGTGGATACCCTTCGGGGCTGTGTGGGGAAGCTGTCCCAGGGCCCTCTGGAACCGTCTCGGGGGCCCCCATGGACAGTCGAGGGCCCGTCTTGAGCCGTCTTGGAGGCCTCTTGGAACTCTTTTTGGCCGTCTTGGGGCGATCTGGTCGGCTCCTGGGCCCGTCTTCGACGCGGTCGACGCCGAAGCGGCGAATATTGTAAAAATGTACGTTTTCCGGAGGGCATGGGGCCATTTTTGCTTCTGGAGGCGCTCTTGGGAGTCTTCTTGGGGGACTCTTGGGCCGTCGTGGGGGCTCCTGGAGGCCGTCTTGGAGCCATCGTCGGGGAGCGACAATTTTGGGGATTCTGGGCCCTCGTGGACGTTTGGAGACCTCCTGGGACTCTCGGGTGGTGCTTCGGGGCTGTGTGGGTCTGTCTCGGGGGGGCCCCAGAAGCCCCCCGGGCCTGTTGGGACAGT